GGGTCAGTCTCGTTTTCAGAAGTGCCTAAGTGTGACCTCAGTTGTTTCTGGAATCTACTTTAGGCTTTCTCGCCACAAAGTTCAACTCTAATGCGTCTTCTTAATGTGGTTTTTCTGCGTCCAGTAAGGCGCAAGCAAATGCGTACTCGTTTTAGGACATGATTGAGGTCTGAACATGTGTTCCCGAAAGGGTGGTCGTCTTCTGTCGAGCTTCTCCAACGATCACTAATGGCAATATGTTCTATTTGAGTCCATTGTTGGTTTGGTGCAGGGGGTCACCATTTTAGACGACGTCAAATACAAAAAATATTGAAAAAAGTCGAAAATTATATCTAAACTAATACAGTTGGATTTTGGGGGATATTACAACTCTTTTAGATAATTTTCGGCGTCGAAACAATAAAAAATAGACAATATCAATGTACCAGTGGTCTCGAGTGCTGTTAGAGGTTCGAGGGAGGCTTTCGACTCCCGATTGCCCATACCGTGGAACGGTTCTTCTAGAGGTACCTAAAATGGAAATTGGGTTAGAGGTGGCTGTAGTGACCTGAGAGTGTGATCGCAATTCCCAAGGGACAACTGCTTGAGGCCGGTCACACACGACCTTTTTGTGAGTAATTTTCGTGTTAGCTCCGTACTTCTTGAGACCTTACCGCCGGATAAGGCAAGGAATGCATGTCTAACCCCACACTTTTTTGTGAGAAGGTAGTGTTGCTGTTATGCTGGATGTCTGAAGGAAACACCTTACTGCCATCACACTGTGCAGTCAACAGTACGACTTCATCCTCGAACCTTGGGTTTGTTTCTCTTGGTCTGACCGCTCTTCAACCAAACTGTCTGGGATGGTAGGACCTTGAGGAACGATTGTTCCAGCAAATATAGCCCGACTGGTTCGTCATGATTGACAAACTGAACCACCACGTCAAGGTACTAACTGTCGGGGTTGGCATGCAGTCGATTGTTATAGTTCTTGTGCCATAGTTTCTGCCACTTTGATATACATTTATATATATCTTTTATGTTTTGTCGTTTGAATGCTGATTGTTATATCTGGTCGTCACTGATCGTTGTGTCGGGAACGCTTATCACTTACACATTTTTTAATCACCACTGAGTAAATGATACTTTTATTTCGGACATTGTACTAACTGGAAAGTTACTAACTGTTGGTCTGATCCACACCAAGACGTGCGACTTTCTTGGTTGACGGCCATGCGATACTCGCAATCGTTAATTAGAAACAGGTTACACTGTCTAGACTCAATCAAAGTAGTTTATTTGCGCTAATTATCTTCTAAATATCTTAACTTTTCGTTTGCTTCTTTCAAAGCGTAATTGTCGGTCTTAGATTTATGTCAGTTTGTATTATCTCCCATCGTATGGTTCTCATCTAGTTGATTGCCTGGCGTGCCAATGCAAGGTGCGGCAAATTAAACCAATCCAGCTTCGTACATAATCTTAGGTCAATGAGTAAATAATATTGTTTATTGATTGATCCATGGATAGCTCCAGAGATTTTTCATATAAGTCCAATACCTTGTTAAGTATATTTAAATTTCATAGTCAGTCAGTCAGTAACAATATAGAACGTCGTACGTACGTACATCAGTTCAAGTTGCCATACCATATTAGCACAGAGATGCAGTTGTCGATTTGAATCCCGTAGTGGTAGAGGTAGTAAGAGTATAGGCAGTAATTGGAAGGATTAGGGTTTGAAGACGTTATTCAAGGAATATAATACAATGAAATAAATTAGGAAAGAGGAAAAAGGGACATGACAAATTCAGAAGATTCGAATTTGGGAGAACACAAAGAGTGCCATTGCAAACAATTTTGAGCCATGTCATTCAGGGTCTCTAACCATCGGTTGCTATCATCTCGCGGTCCCCAACCAGGTAGTCTACATCTACCAACATGGCTCAGTCCACTTGTCAGTGACTTCATGAATTTGTGCCATGTTTTGGTCTGGCCGCCCCTAGCTTTCTTCCAACCTACTCCCATACCACTGAACATCGCATGTCGAGGCCATCGGTCGTTGGGCATACGTAACACGTGTCCCAGCCATCTCAACTGATGAAGTCTCACTACTTCATCAATTTATTTGCCATCCTTACCTAGTACTCGTTTCCTAACAGCTGCGTTACTTACTCGATGGTCCCAGGATATACGAGCAATGTTTCGAAGACACCTATGATCAAATACTAATAACCTACGAATATCCTCTACTCTTACCGGCCATGTTTCACTGCCATAAAGTAGGACGGGACGAACTGCTGCGCAGTAAACACGTCCTTTGGTTGATAGACGGTATCTTGCCTACGCCATAAATGATGCAAGTTGGCAAAAGCTAGTCGAGCTTTCTATATCCGTGCTGAAATTTCGTCACACACCAGACCACAAGGAATGACGAGACTTCCAAGATAAGTGAAGCGGTCGACAAGCTCAATTACTTCACTCTCTATCATTAGTTCGATTGTCGATGTAACCCAATCCTGAAGCAACATTTTGCATTTCGAGGGGGAGAATCGCATGCCGAACATGCTAGCATTGTTGCTTAGAGCGATCAGAAGACTCTGACTCATAGTTCATGTGTATTATACTGAAAAAATAACTCGTTATGTAATTAAGAGGTATTTAAAACTCAATAGTTTATGAATAACTTTCAATCAAGAGTTTATTCTAAATGTTTAAAAATTAGTTAAATTGTAAATGTATCAGTCTAGTGAAATAAGTCACCATAGTGTGATTAATCATTAGTTGAGAATCCAATAAATAAATAATGAAAACAAAACCTTTGTACATTTATGATTTATTTTAAGGATGATGTTTGTATTGATTGAAAATCTAATTAACCAGTAGATATCAGAAAATACAATAAAACTGCTACTTAATCAAGTTTATTCGCTCTCAATTTACAATAGCACAATCTTTAAAATACACTTTTAATTCAATATATTCTGGCCTTGGTTGTGAAATCATTGATGTGCAACGAATTACCCTCAATTTCATATTCTTGCATGACATACTTGCTGAGTGTTTACAATGAAGTCTGATTTATTGATAAATACGAGACTATTAGGTTGTTCATCCAAAACATTTAACTTGGAGTTCGAATTCTTGTAATTTGTTCTTTATTAGTTTGGATTATCCCGTTGGTATATTGGCTACAATTTGACCAGCCTCGGTTGGCGTATGCGTGTCTTATGCGGATTACCTCAATATAGGCATCATGATACAAATTTTCCTAAGAGTAAATGGAATATGGCTAGCAGTAGGATCCGTGATGCGTTTCGTCCTATTTGGGACTTGTCAAATGAATGGCTATCTGGATTCATTAACGTGCTGGTTTTTGAGGAGAAGGGCTCTAGGTTCAAGTCTCGAGGTGAACATCAACTCTAAGATGCAGGTACATTTACCTCACGAGTCCCAAACAGAGTGAGACTCTTCCTAAGTTTCACTGCTAACCATCTATCTGTTTATGTACATTTGAGTTCTTTTTTTGTTTATATTGATTGGAAAGTTCTCTTGTCTTGGTCACCTTTATTATTATTTTTATTTGAACACATAAATATTGGTACAAGGGGGCACCAGATATATATGCGCGACACAATAACATTGAGAATGGGAAGAGAAAAACAGTGCAAAGTGCGTATAAGAAAGAAAGAAGAAGAGAACAATAACGATCACAGACTAGTGTGTGGTAGTGTAATAATGACAATGAGGGAAACGGAAAGGTACAACCAGAAAGAATTCTTTCAGTTAAGGAAGATACAATCACTTTTTATAAAGAAAGTAAAAGAAGGTTACAGGAGGATCGCCACTGGCTTCTATTCTGAGCCATATCTGATAACGTCTCTAGCCACTGTGTTGCACCATCTCTCGGACCCCGGCCAGGGAGTCGTGAAGGACCAACACAAGCCAGTCCTTTGCTGCTTCCTTTGATACCACGACACCATATTATACACTGACCATCTCTCCGCTTTTTCCCACCAGTCCCAGCGTCGGCAAATAATGCACGACATGGAATTCTCTGGGACGACATTCGTAGAACATGTCCAAGAACATTTAATTACTAAACAATTTTCCGTTAGTTTGCTGATTTGCGTCGATTATTCGTTTTACAGTTAATTTACACCATAAATTGTTAGACCGGATGGAAAGCTACTAAAAACTTGGGGACAGTGGATAATTGTTTCGTTCTATACTGGTGTTTGTTATGAAACATATAGTTTAGGATTCAATCTATGCTGTGGCTGAAACAGCTTCCCAGTGCTCTCTAGTGTTTAATGTTTCTTCAGTTGACGGCCTTTCTAAATGAAGACTAACATCAAATAACTTTTGCTGGCATTTTTTTTCAAAGTGACTTTAATCTAAACGAATACATTATCGAGTTGATATTGTCTGAGTGTAGTCTGACCATCATATGAAAATAAACATCTGTTATTATTTATGAATATTAGGTTTAGAATCTTAAAGATTCCATTATTTCACAAATCAGCACATTCACAAAATAATATCGGAAATTAATGATGTCCTTTACTTTGTGACCTAAAAAATGACTAACCCGTTATGTAAGCCTTTGTAGATTTTATTATCTGTTCACCTATTTTCGTCTAAAATCCTTTGAGAAAGCTAGATCTATTACTTTTCAAATTCGTTGTTTTTCAGTCCAAGCGTTAAACGGCAAATTTGTATTTATGGGGCAATTTAATCAGTATGAGCACGTATAGTTTACCCGATAGAATAATTTCTTTTACTTTGGTTATACGACTACTACTATCTCTGAACAGACTGCAACTGATTATCATCCGATTACTTGAAAGATCTTTTTGGTCAAAGTAGAAAAATGTAGATATTAAATATTGACCCTATAGTAATAATAAGAATAATAAGTATTGTTATTATTATTATTTTGTACTTTAAACTCCTTTGTTTTTAATCATCAGATTCATTAATCGCATGTTAAAAACATTATTTGGGTTAAGAGTCTTTTCCATTAATCTTTTTCATAATATCATACGATAAATGTAAATAAAGTGGTATATATTGAAAATTATTTTATATGGATAAATTGACAGCAGCTGAATAATCTTGAAAGTTGAGACTACCAAGTATTTAGTTTTTTCGTGTTTGTTTTAAACATCTCAGTAATATGCATCCACTAATATTAAAATTTGGGTTTTAGATTTTCACAATGAGTACAATACATTTAAGTCACTTAATCAGAATCTAGTGATCTATATATTTCTAATTCTAGTCAATGGTAATCGAATGTTATCACTTTTATCATGGGCGACTTCAAATGTTATAACTTATCACTAGATGTTAGGATAATTAATCTCCAACCTGGTATTCATCCAGTGATTTTGAATGCCAGTTGATTATGTGGTAAGTTGGGATAGTTTTAAAGTACCCACTTAGCATTAACTGGGATCAGTTAGACAACAATAGTAAAGTTGTATTGTTAACCTGTCTCCATTTGATTGCAAATACGATAGCTCAAATTGCAATTTTTCTTATTTCAATTTTACTCTGGACATAAATTTTCACGAAAAAAAATCATTTTTCAAGTTATTCAATTATAACACAAGTTTTTGTATGATTTCTTAAAATATTTCTCTTATCGAAATATGATGTTGTTTAAGCTATTAGTCAATATTCAATCTGGAACTGTTATAAAAAATTTAAAATCGAATTAGACCTGTTATATCTGAGCGACCAATAAATAAACGGTAGCTGCTAGGAATTATTTATGGGTTATTATTACATATTTTGTGCATGAAACTCCCCGAACGATAAATTGGGACCTTTGTGAACAGGCGAAAACTTCTCAGGTATATGATGACGTTCAGATAAGACTTACTTACGCCTGTTACTCCCAATGGAGCATAGGCCGCCGACCAGCATTCTCCAACCCATTATGTCCTGGGCCTTCTTTTCTAGTTCCATCCAACTCTTGTTCATTTTTCTCATGTCTATTTCCATTTCTCGACGTAATGTGTTCTTTGGTCCTCCTTTTTTCATTTGGCCTTGAGGATTCCATGTGAGGGCTTGTCTTGTGACGCAGTTGGGTGCGTTCCTCAATGTGTGTCCTATCCACTTCCAGAAATTCTTCCTGATTTCTTCCTTCAGTGGGATCTAGTTTGTTCTCTCCCACATTAGGTTGTTGCTAATAGTGTCTGACCAACGGATCTGAAGTATTTTGCGTAGACAGTTGTTAATAAACACCTGTATTTTCTGGATGATGGATTTCGTAGTTCTCCAGGTTTCTTCCCCATAGAGTAGAACTGTCTTGACATTTGTATTGAAAATTCTGACCTTGGTGTTGGTTGATAGACAGTTGTTTTGAGTTTGAGGTGTTCTTCAGTTGTAAATATGTTGGTCTTGCTCTGTCGATACGCACATTCACATCTGCATCAGATCCACCGTGTTCATCAATGATGCTGCCCAAATATGTAAAGGTTTTTACATCTTCCAAATTTTCTCCGTCATGTGTGATTTGATTGTTACATGCTGCGTTGTATCGGAGAATCTTTATTTTCCCTTTGTGTATGTTGAGACGTACTGCTGGTACACTGGCCGCCTCCTCCTGCATTTGTTGTTGCGTGTGCGATAGCAGAGCCAGACCATCTGCGAACCCCAGGTCGTCCAACTGCATCCCAGCTATCCACTGTATCCTATGCTTCCCCCCAGATTTCGACGTCTTCAGGATCCAGTCGATCACCAGGAGAACAAGAAAGGGTGAGCGTAAGCAATTTTACCTGACACCGATCTTTATTTCGAACGAGTATGTCAGCTGTCTTCCATGCACGAGTTTGCAGTTAAATTCATCATAGGAATTCCGTATGATATTGACTATCTTCTCAGACACGCCATAGTGTCGAAGAAGCTTCCATAGTGTTGTCCTTTCCACGCTATCAAATGCTTTCTCGTAGCCAATGAAGTTGGTGTAGATTGACGAATTCCATTCAATTGATTGTTCCACAATGATCCGTAGAGTTGCGATTCGGTCTGTACACGATCGATCCTTAACGGAATCCAGCCTGCTGGTCTCGAAGTTGGACGTTTACGGAGTCCTTCATGGTGTTTAACAATTCCCTGTTGAAGACTTTTCCTGGTATTGGGAGAAGAGTGGTGCCTTTGTAGTTCTCACAGTTGCTGAGATCGCCTTTCTTTGATATCTTGATCAGATGTCCTTCTTTCCAGTCTGTTGGTACTTGTTCTTTATCCCACCGTTTTCGTTTCATTCTACTAGCCTATATTGTCCCATGATTTTTTCATATCCGATGTTTTCCATTCCAACCCTGGCATTTAGGTCTCTCATCAGAATGGTCAAGCCCTCTGTTGAACACTTCTCGACGACTGACTGCAGCCTATCGTAGAATTGATCATTAATGTCTTCATTGTTGTCGTTGGTAGTTATAGTGAAATACAATAACTCATATATATATTTCATCACCCTTCGTTTGTCCTATTCTCTACTGTTATATGGTTAACCATTCTTAATTTATTCGCAATTTATTAGTTACAGTGCACAATAATCACAGCCAGTTTTGACTTGTATTTATCTTGTATAATTATCATTCCTTATTTTATGATGTGATGCGGTCTGGTCTGCTTGTGTATAAACCACGTGTGTCTTAAATATACGATTCACAAAGCAGAGGATAATATTTGTGTTATGAACTGAACAGGCTGGGCTGGGCAAGAAGTTGCCATACAGAGGAACAGTAAAGACTAAGAGTTGACTCTAAGCTACTCGTGCTGGTTAACACACAGTGGGTTTAGCACGAGGTAAAGGTAATGTAAGTCGGCGTTTTGATTGACGATATTGTCACGTGACAGGGTCACAAGCTACAACAAAACTACTATTAAATTCATGGTTCTCAACTAAATGCAATCTGATTTTTCCTCATAAATTGTCTTTTTTGTTTCATATTTTATCTGATATGCTTCTTCTTTTCAAAAAATTATATTTAGCCGGGATTAGACGAGATTGTTAAATTACACCGTGGAAAAAATCTACACTTTTCTTCGGATATTGACAAAGCAATAGATGAAGCTGAAATGATTTTTATCTCAGTGAATACCCCAACAAAAAACTGGGGCCTCGGTAAGGTAAGTAAATCGTACACAAATGGAACCAACTTTGCTTTTTCTCTATAAACATATTGCTTTTTAATCCAGGAATCAGACTTGAATTGACAAACATGTAGAGCCTGTACTGCGCACACTTTTCTGATGCATATTTCATTTGAATCGGCTCTTCTAATTTTGTAGGATATTTTTTGATGAAATCTTGTGGTCAACCACCTACTCCTGATGGCCTACAATTGCAATGAATTTTAAAAGTACACAAAAAAGATATTCTTCCAGTCGGTATGAAGAACTCGCGATGATACACAATTATCTAATAATCGGTATAAATCGTGCAAACGATTAGAAATCAAATCAGTAGACGTAGCCCCTAATTCTCGCGAAATCACTTATTCAAAAACCAACATTAATGTATTCACAAAGAGAATGCTATATTTGGATATCTGCTTTCCGTGTGATCATGATGAAGATAGTAACCTTGAAAAAAGTATCCCAAAACATCCAAAGAAACTACTCATACTTTTCACTCAACTTGCATTTCAAAGTTAACCATGGAACTTATGGGCAAACCTAAGGCATTGAAATAGTGTAACCACTGAGTCGTTTTCTAGCAGATTGTTTCATGGCCAACTTAGAAAATAATGTAGTTTGACAAGTAATCTTTAAATCTTGTTTATACATGAGACTCATAGATGACACCATCAATTGTAATGATAATAACAAACGAAATGCTGTACTACAAGAGTTCAATAACTGCTACATATCGATTACACTCACAGTAGAATCAGAGACAAATTTAGAATCTCACCTCCTCCATGTTTTGTCGGAACAAAAATGTAATGGTTCTGTAAAATTATTAATATATAGAAAAGCTCGAGCAAATTAAGAATTTCCAGAAAATATCTCTTAGATGTAGATAGGGATACATAAAAGAGACACAGAGCACAAAATTTAGAATTGTCGTACATTTGACATCTCTTTAAAATCAATTGCACGAGTAATGTCCTTAAAAACCATCTATGTGTACAAATGTGCCACTTGAAATGATAAATTCGTTGAAAACTAGTTTCTTATCTTATTTTTCTCCTTATTTTCGATTTGGAATGTTTCGCAGCAGTTACTGTATCATTGAGTATTGTTTTGTTTAAATTATATGATTCACTCGTATATTGAGTATTGATTTTTGTGAATTTTTGATTTTAGCATTGTTTTTACTATTACATGTAGATCGCATAATTCTACGCTAGGTCAAGGATAAAACTAACCGAGGTCAATAACCTACGCTATTTTTTAGATTACTGTTAAAATGATTATAAATACTTGTAAAATAGATTTCAAATCTTCTAATGGCATTATCGTCTGTTGTACATAACACATCTGCTTAGATTATTCATGGATGTGTATATAAATATTACTTTGAAATTAGTTTCACTTGAGTTTGTTATAATATGATCTACTGACCCTATCAATATTTAATGTATTGATCATTATCATTATCATAAGAGTTTGTAGTCACAACTAATCAGCTGACATTTCTTACACGGTTATTGTAATTTCTGACTCCTGTTAATGAAGATTTTTTGGGTATATTTAGAAAAATATAAAAACAACTAATTGGTTAACTTGATTTCGAAAACTTGTACTCATGTGTTTATGAACAAACATTTTGTTACCTATAATAATTTGTTAATTATGTACAGTTTCTGATTCTTATACAAATGAGAATCATGTACCATATAATAAATAGCAGCATATCTCCCATTCATAATTTCCAATGACATTCTTTAACGCTTCAAGTGATTGGAATGATATCAGATACAACATACTCAAAAACACGTTATCAGTATTTGTGACAACATTTAGAACAATATAGCTAGTAATTTGTAAGTTATTTACGTTCATAATTTGTAGAAAAAGTGATCACTGGAGGAATATTTACATTTGATATCACTTTTCAAAAATTAATAACTAATAATTACCGGAATGAAAAAAATTTTTAAAGATGGGATGAAAAAATTTCAAAAAAACACATACAAAAATACTTACTTAAGCCTGTTACTCCCAATGGAGGATAGGCCACCGACCAGCATTCTCCAACCCATTCTGTCCTGAGCCTTCTTTTCTAGTTCCATCCAACTCTTGTTCATTTTTCTCATGTCTATTTCCATTTCTCGACGTAATGTGTTCTTTGGTCCTCCTTTTTTCATTTGGCCTTGAGGATTCCATGTGAGGGCTTGTCTTGTGACGCAGTTGGGTGCGTTCCTCAATGTATGTCCTATCCACTTCAAGCAATTCTTCCTGATTTCTTCCTTCAGTGGGATCTAGTTTGTTCTCTCCCACATTAGGTTGTTGCTAATAGTGTCTGACCAACGGATCTGAAGTATTTTTATTATTATTATTATTAGCTTTATTCAATATTATAGTTTTGGTACAATATAGAATTCTCAGCGCAAAGTATTTCAACAAGTTTCCGTTTCTTTCTTCTTGGTCGGTCCTGGCGATAAATATTGAGGAATCGCCAGTTAGATGTTAGCACTTCAGTGAATGAACAACTGAATAATGTACATTCTTTTCGTTGTACATTGCCAACAACCATATTGTCTCTTATTGAGTTTTCTGTAACTTTGACAACGAAAGGTTGTACACTTTTCAGAAACGCAGCAGAATAGGTTATGCGATTAATAAACATAATGATATATTAAAACAAACAACAATAGATAACTTGTTGAAATATCTAGATGGCAGGAACAGGTAGCCCAGATGCTCAAGCAGGCCGCCCTAGTCATATCATCCTACTGCGTAGACAGTTGTTAATAAACACCTGTATTTTCTGGATGATGGATTTCGTAGTTCTCCAGGTTTCTTCCCCATAGAGTAGAACTGTCTTGACATTTGTATTGAAAATTCTGACCTTGGTGTTGGTTGATAGACAGTTGTTTTGAGTTTGAGGTGTTCTTCAGTTGTAAATATGTTGGTCTTGCTCTGTCGATACGCACATTCACATCTGCATCAGATCCACCGTGTTCATCAATGATGCTGCCCAAATATGTAAAGGGTTTTTCCATCTTCCAAATTTTCTCCGTCATGTGTGATTTGATTTTTACATGCTGTGTTATATGAATTATTCAAACATACAAAAATAACTATTCGGTAAATGATATTCCGACTAATCATTATCATATCAAACGTTCAGAATCATATCATATATATAATATTGGTGTCATATTCATCTGAAAGAATAAGTCTGAGTAGAAGAAATCATTTAAACAATATGAAATTCTTGTAACATATATATAGCCTTATTATCAAGATCATTTCTTAATTAATAATAAGAATTCTAGTTGTGAACTTTAAATTCTGTTATAAATTATATTGAATAACAATTCCTAATTTCTATTAAATGTTTATCTATCATTAGAATAGTATTCCTGCAGAAATATTTGTTTATACTATGAATAGATATAATAATATCGTTTTGTATGGTTATAATAACATTGAAATATTACAAACAATTCAGTGAATTCATGATAATAGTACTAACAATAATAGAAATAATAATAATAATTAATGATCAATAATACTGTTTACTTTTATTATTCCGCATGACCCTAATTTGTTGTTCATAAAAGAAAAATGATGTACTTTGCTATACAAAACAAAAATAAGAGTAATGGATGGCTAAGCAAACTATTGTTTGTAACGATAACGATTTTTTCACGATACATGGTTTTAATATTTTAACTTATTATTTTACATTAAATAAAATATTAGAATCTGTATATAAACATTCAGGTTGAATGAATTAGTATATGTATTGTATGTTGAAAATAGTAGATTTTATTATTATTATTAGTGGCTTTATTCAATATTATATTTTTGGTACAATATAGAATTCTCAGCACAAAGTATTTTAAAAAGTTTCAGTTTCTTATTTGTTAATCGGTCCTGATGATAAATATTGAATGGTCATCAGTTAGGAGTTAACAGTTCAGGAATCGACATCTGAATAATGTACATTCTTTTCTATGCATATTATCAGCAACCACGATGTCTCTGATTGGGTATTTTTGTAACATGTGCAGTGGACGGTCGTAAACTTTCCATAAGCACACCTGAATAGGTTATATGATTAATAGACATAATGGTTTGTTAAAACACAAAAAAAAACACAGATATCTAGATGGCAGGAACAGGTATTCCAGATATTCAATCAGGCTGCCATCTGCCGGGATGTTGACTAAATCTTAAATCTTAACAAATTATTTTATTCATTTATTTTCTATCAAAATGATAAATAATCTTTCCTATTTAATGCAATTAATGAAATGAACTCGTGATAATAATAATAGACCTTCAAATAATCATAGCCTGTTGTTTGAGATATTAAGCGATATGGCCTAAATAGGCTACAATCGCATAGATGCATTCATTGGTTTCATTACTTTAGACACTGAGTCTAGTGTTACATAATTTTCATCTCATTCGCTCCTGAACTTTCTTGTCTACATTTAACCTTTCATTGCCTTTTCTTTTCATATGCTTCTCATGTTAATTTTCACCGTCCTGTTTCGAACTATGCCTTCTTCTACATGTGTGTATCAGGTTATACGTTGTCTATGTTAATCTGATTGACTATTGCATATAAATAATTTACAAAAATAAATATGCGTATACCCTTGTATGTATGATATTCACATTCTTTTAGGGTAGAGCAACTGATCTGACTAACTTGGAGGCTGCAGCTCGACGTATAGCTAAAGTATCACGACAACCCAAAGTTATAGTTGAAAAAAGTACAGTACCGGTGAAAGCAGCAGAGACTACAAGTACCATACTTCAATTTGAAGCTAAGTCTCGTCGTAACATATCCAGTCTTACAATAACAACTAATAATAATGACAATAAGGTAAGTATACATTATTTCATTCCATTTTACTTCTATTTTTTTGTCCAATTTACTGAAATGACACTTTGAGAAAAAATGGATAATAACCCTCTTTCAATATTGAATAAAAGTATAATATCTTGCATCTTCGAACATTCTTCTATTCAGTCAAAGGGTCATTATTGCATATAAAACTATAGTTCTCACTGGAAATTTTATTTCAATCATCTGAAGCTGTTTATGTATATTTTTCCTATGAACACGATACTGTAGTGCTTCTTAACTTCCCGGAATAAAAAAGCAAGTAAGGTATGAATTGTAGCGTGAAATGAATTCTCCAGTGGAAATTATGGTTTTATATACAACATTCACTCAGTAAATGAAAAAAAACAGTGCTAGATACTGCACTCGTATTCCCCATTGAAATATAGGTGTGTTATATTGTTATAACTTGTCAATTTTTCCGAAATCCCCGTCGCCAATTGATATAGCTTATCAGTTGAATGCTGCTTGTTGTATCAGGTCGTCGCTCATTGTTGTGTCGAAAACGCTTATCACTTATACTCGGAACAGGGACCTCCTCAATTCCCACGACGCGAGAGTAAGGACACAAAGACTGGCATAAATGAATGTTTATTAACCACGAAACACGACGACAACCTTAGTCGAAAACACACTCATATATTGATTGTACACCCATTTTTGATTAATAATTAGGATGAAATCACATATATGAAAAATACTTAGAGTTATAACAAATCATATACTGAGCATAGTTCATGTAAATTGAATAGAAGAATATCGTATATTATACAGAATAAAATATCATACGAGAAAAGAAAACCGAATATTACACTGAATGATCATTACATTGAATCAAAACGGAAGTAATGTTGAACAAAACTCATAATAAATAAATCAATCGAAAATTGATTTTTCTTCCCATTATCTCACCTTCCCTTCTTTTTTTTGAAGTCTCAAAGTTTAGATCCTGACTTTAAATTTTATGACTTTATCCTCCCCCTACGGAATAATGTTGTATCCTCATATTCATAAGTTACAGTTAGTTTGACCATATTTAAAACATAGTTGCCGCATTGAATAGAGAGTCTACTAGAACTGACTTGATGGTAAGGATCAGCGACACTAGATGTGAGGTCATTAACGTTTGATTCTTGTGGAACATTTTCATCAAATCTCTCGAAAATCTCATTAGTAGATAATCGGTCTCTAGAGTAATCAGCATCTATCAAAATTTCATTAGGTTCTCGATCATCATTTAATACGTCCAACAAATTTTTCTCATTTCTGTAAGAAATTTGATCAAAAGTATGTAAGTCATTAAGGTAACTCATATCTGGTAAAGCAACTAGAGAACCCCGATACGTATATTCACCAGAAACTTTTGTCGTAGAATGATGAGCTCAATTTAATGCAACTGTCTTCATTATGCTGCTTGATCCATTTTCTGTTTCTTCTTGGGCGGGTACTGCAATAATTTCATGAGCATTTAATAAGACGTCGAATTTCTGTAAGCTGGACAAGTCAGTGTTTGTACATAGTGTTTCGGGGACAATGGAATTTGAACACACGACATAGCATGTCTTTAAAATGGTCGTTTCTGGACCACTGGGCGGATTATGAATGACTGCTACTACTTTGTTTACATTACCGCTTATCAAGGATTCATGGAGGCTCTCATCGACACGTTCATAGGTTCTGCAGTCATTTTCCAGCTCTGTACGGAAATTCGAAATTAACTTATCAACTTCTGTCACATCTCCAAAACATGGATGATTTAGCAGCCGTGTGCGTAAATTGTCTAAAACAGTCAACTGACTCTTTTTTAAAACGCTGCTGTTGTCGATCAAATAGCAACTGTAATTGGTCGGAAGAGATAGCCATTTTCTGAATGAGCGCGGTAGTGAAAAATACTGTATGACTAATTAACAATCAATGTCGTTGAATGACACCGGCGAAAACCCTGTATGCTGATTACTCGAAATAATTACAATGAATTTTGTCCAATGACAGACTAGCTTTGGTTCATTAATTTGAAGATTGAGGGTTCAGAATTTTTTTTCACCACATCGCCAATTGTTATAACTTGTCAATATTTTCCGACACATTTTCAACAATAAAACGTCTCCAAAACTATTTAATTTCTTCCAGATGCGCTATGAGCTGACTGGGTTGTTGGGAGCACCTGAGGTTTTCCGATATGCTCCCAAGTTCTTCGACTAATAAGTGTGATATCGGAAGCAGTGTCGAGCTGCAGACCGGCACGCTGTTTATCTATCTCTAAATTTACACACTTTCGTTGGCGGTAAATTTGTGCTCGGTTATGTGATACCAATATTTTCTTAGTTAGTGCACTAGATCTGTATTTCTTGAGGTGAGGTTTTGAAGAATATACATCACTCCTGAAGGTTGTGCGGCTTTGCCTTTGAGTCTTTTACCTCTTCTACATTCGCGCCTCTGAGGGTTTTTTTCGAGATGAATTCACAATCAATTGAAACGGGAGTCGGCTTTGTGGGACCAATGTTCTGCCGTCCCTTTGAATTTGATTTATGTGTCTTATACACGTTTCGACAACGCTGATAACCCCCTGTGTGCGGATTGGATAGCTATAATGATGATTTCGTTTTTACTGAGATCTATAAATACCTGACAGTTTGTACTTTAATTTGACACTGTCTGGATTGACATTCCTTTCACTAGTCTTCTCTCTTCTCATTGTGACTTGGAAGGGTTTTAACGTTCAAGTGCTCAAGTTATACGCGTCATATCAAGAATATAAGCATTTTGAGACATAACAATTGGCGACGGAGTTAACTTATCAAGATGTCATTTACCATTGACCAATTTGAAGCCTTGCTGGAGCGGCAAGAAAAATGTTTCGAAGTTCCAGATTCGTATTATAGAGACTCTAACCCAGAAAATTAACCCAAATCAGAAGGGGCTTACAGATGGTCCTTCTAAATCTCATGCTGACCACATTATTAATTCTATCCATGAATTTCATTTTGATGATTTGGCTGGTGTCACATTTGAATCATGGTTCAAGAAATACGAAGATGTATTCAAGGTCGACCTAGAGAAATTTGATGATACCGCAAAGGTCAGAATATTGCTACTCAAACTTGGCACAGCTGAACATGAGCGCTAAACCAATTTCATTCTCCCTAAGAACCCAAAAGACCTTTCATTTGATGCGATGGTCGTAACTTTATCACAAATTTTCGGTGAACAGTCATCGTCGTTCAATATTCGTTACCACTGTTTGAATTTGGCTAAAGCGGGAGACGATGACTGGGTACAACATGCTGGCAGAGTAAATCGCGAGTGTGAGCGCTTCAAATTATCAGCAATGACAGAAGATCAGTTCAAGTGTCTTGTTTTTGTATACAGCTTGCAGTCACCTGAAGATGACCACATCAGAACCAGAATTCTGAGCAAAATTGAAGTGTCTAAATATAAGACAACAAGAAGTGACTAGTGGGTGTCAGAGGTCAGTGAATCTAAAACATGACCCTTCTATGGTTGAAAACAGTGGCCGGTCATTATATGTGCAGGTAATAAATGGCCAGAAAGATTCTCTTGTACGTAAGAAGGACATTTCAAACAACCAGCCCTCATCTCCATACTGGTCATGTGGAGGTTGACATTATAAGAGGTTTTGCCCATATAAAGAATATTATTGCATTAAATGTCATCGTAAGGGTCACAAAGAAACAAGCTGCAGGAAAAGAACACATAAGTGATATTCTTCAAAACCTCACCTCAAGAAATACAGATCTAGTGCACTAACTAAGAAAATATTGGTATCACATAACCGAGCACAAATTTACCGCCAACGAAAGTGTGTAAATTTAGAGATAGATAAACAGCGTGCCGGTCTGCAGCTCGACACTGTTTCCGATATCACACTTATCAGTCGAAGAACTTGGGAGCATATCGGAAAACCTCAGGTGCTCCCAACAACCCAGTCAGCTCATAGCGCATCTGGAAGAAATTAAATATTTTTGAGGAGCTTTGTTGTAGAGTTGTTAAAGGAATTGCGTAAACAAATGCAACACTATATATCAAACATAATTCGGAACTAGATTTGCTGGGTCTTTACCTCATAGAAACACTGCAATTAGCACATCACTCCATTAACCGCACATGCAGCTCCCTTAGTATCAATAAACCAGCGGAAAAGAATTTCAGGTTTGTTGTGTTGGAAATAAATAGTCATGTGTTTACGGAAGAACTGGGGGAGTGCGACAAGGTAAAGGCAGCTCTAAGTCTTAAACCGGGAGTCACTCCCGTTTTTATACCAAAACGTCCGGTACCCTATGCAACGCTGCCTAATGTTGAATAAGAGTTAGAGCGTCTGCAAAGAAGTGGAATAATAGAACCAGTTAACTTTTGTGACTGGGCAGCATCAATAGTGATTGTCAAAAAGTCAAATTTAAGTATCCGGCTATGCGCAGATTATTTGACTGGATTAAATGAATCACTTCAAGCCCATCAATACTCTTTGCCGTTACCAGAATTACTTGCGAAACTGAATGGGGGCAAGTATTTTGCAAAACTGGACTTATGAGAAACTTATTTACTGATTCCATTAGCGGAAGAGTGTAAGCATTACTTGACAATAAACACTCATAAAGGGTTGTTTCGATGTAACAGACTTCCGTTTGCAGTAAAGACCACCCCTTCAATCTTCAAACAAGTTATGGACATTATGCTACAAGATATCCCTGGTACTGCGGCCTATCTCGATGAAATACTGATCATAGGTACAGACTATGCTGACATAAAAAATAAGGTGGATACGGTTCTTAGACGCATAGCAGATTATGGGTTGAGATTACGTGCTGAAAACTGTAATTTCTACATGGAGCAAGTCCGCTATTTAAAATTCATGATCGATAAAAACGGAAGAAAACCTGATCCTGAAAACGTCGAGGTTATAAAGTCCATGCCTCCAGCGACTGATGTATCAACTTTACGTTCTTTCTTGGAAATGGTTAGTCATTATGGAGTTTCTCTTCCAGATCTGCATCGCCATCGTGCTCCTCTTAATTGCTTACTGAAAAAGGATACCAAATTGTTCTGCTCAATCGAATGCCAGGAAGCATTCCTAAAACTAAAGCAGCTCCTATCATCAAACCTTCTCCTTACACACTAAAATCCAGATCTTCCCATTATAGTCGCAGCAAATGTGTCAAACTACGGAATTGGAACAGTAATTTCACATGCCTACCCTGACGGGTCTGAAAAAGCAATCACCCACGCTGCAAGATCGCTGACTATGACTGAAAGAAACTACAGTTAAATGGAGAAAGAAGCTCTCTATCATATTTGCTGTGAAAAAGTTCCACAAGATGCTGTTTGGCAGACAGTTCACCTTACTTACAGACCATAAACCGTTACTGACAGTCTTTGGATCCAAAAAAGGTATTCCTGTATATACAGCAAACCGGCTACAGCGATGGGCAACTACACTAATGGGCTGTGATTTCAAGATAAAGTATCGACCAACAACGGATTTCGGCCAGGCAGATGCCCTCTCAAGATTGATTGGCTCTCATACAAAACAAGAAGAAGAGGTGCTTGTAGCGACCATAGACGTTGAGGCTGAGGTTCACACAGCATTAGCAGACGCAGTTTCCTGACTTCCGGTCACATTCGAAGTCATTAAAGAAGCTAGCAAGAAGGATAATGCGTTGAAGGTCGTTCGCAGCTGCATACTCAACAAGTGGACTTCATCTAGACTACATGGAGAGCTGTTACAATATTTTCACCGACGAGATTCTTTGACAGTTTTCGACTCGTATATAATGTTTGGCCACCGTATCGTTATCCACAGAAATCTTCGAAACCAAATCATTAAGCAGTTCCACAGCGGGCACCCGGGGATAAGTCAAATGAAATCACTGACTCGGAGCTATGCATACTGGCCGTCAATAAACCATGATATAGAACAAAAATGTCGCAGTTGTTGGTCCTGTCTAGAGGCTGCAAAGAATCCAACGAAAGCTGAACCACAACCATGGCCAAAGCCGGACGGGTCTTGGCAAAGAATACACGCTGATTTCGCCGGACCAATACACGGTAGAAATTACTTAGTTGTTGTCGATGCTTTCACAAAATTGCCAGAAGTATATGACATGTCGAAAACGACTTCAGAGAGTACAATAAGTTTACTGGCAGGATTGTTTGCTTGTTTTGGGGTTCCAGAGATCTTAGTGACTGACAACGGCACTCACTTTATGTCATCCACTTTCAAACGCTTTTGCAGTGAAAATGGCATATCGCATCGACAATCTCTTCTGTACCATCCTCAGTCGATTGGCCAAGCAGAAAGATTCGTGGATACGATAACAAGAGCTGTGATCAAAGGGGGAGGTGAGGGTATCCCAGGACAAGTGATCAGTAAGTTCCTAATGTCTTACAGAGTTACTCCTAATCCGGCAGTACCAGAAGGAAAGTCACCAGCCGAGTGTATGTTCCGAATAAAAATCCGGACAGTCTTTAACAGTACGTTGCTGCCCAGAAAGACAAATAAACCCATGAATGAGTATCGTGCGGTCACTCGTAGCTTCCAGGTGGGTGAAAGGGTATTTGTCAAGTCGTATCAAGGTAATAGGAAGTGGGAACCAGTTATCATAGAACGTCGGATCGGAAATGTACTGTACCCAGTCCGGAAAAAGGTCGGAACGTGTATAAGACACGTAAAACAAATTCAATTCAAGAAACCGATACAAAAATGAATTATAGTTACAGCATTTTGTTTTCCTCTTTCAACCGGTTCAATTAAATTTAAAATGCTGAATCTTGTCTCACTATTTCTTCTAAACTTTGTTTTTATAAATTTTTATGTCTATATTATCGACTTTTTAATTTATCATTGTTTTACATTTTGATTATATATTGAATTTATTATGGGTTTGTTTTCTTCATTTTTATTGATTTTACATAAAAGCTTAATGAATTTGTAGTCTTATCGAATCCGGAATTTCTAGCTGAAGGTACTGCTGTCAATGATTTATGTAATCCAGATCGTATTCTAATTGGTGGTGATTCACATTCGTCATCTGGTGAATTAGCAATTGAAATGTTACGTTGGATATATTTACATTGGGTACCAGCAGAACGTATACTGATTACATCGACCTGGTCATCGGAATTATCTAAATTGGTAATTTATTTTCATAACAATCATATGTTCACTATTGACCGGCTTTAAAATGTTACTCCTGGAGTTCTAGTGAGAAGTCATGATCAGTGGAGTTCAATCTGTGGCAATCAATGAAGGGTTGAGTAAGATCATGGATTAACTGAAGTTAGATACTAACACCGTTGGATGCCAGTTCAGTGGTTTAGAGTTTAAGTGTTCGCGCGTGCGACCGAAGGTTCCTGAATGCGAGGTCATAGACGCACACTGCTGCGGATTCCTTCACTGGGTCGAAACAACTGTCCAGTTTTTCTGGGTTTTCAATGGTGGTGTAGCTATAATTAGTTCATAATTTCAACCGTGAAAATTTATTTCCAATAGATTATTATTCTAGAAAGATAAGCATATATCTGTGCATCTTTATTTGTTTTCTGATGTCCTTTTCGGCTATGTTTCACGAATAAATCATGCATAAAATTATTTTGGAGTAGTAAATTTGAGATCATTCACACTTTTTTGGACTTGCATATTTGTATGTGCTGAAATTGGTCATGATTTCACTTCTTATCTTGCTCTAGATCTTCATTTTCAATATTCCTTCGTATATATCTTTTCAGCCTTTTTCTCTAATCATATTCTCCATGTTTAGTTTTTATTCACTATCATTCATAATACATTGTTCAGACTCTTTTGGTATTCATCTTGTCAATTTTATCTTGTCTTGCTTGAGCTTACGCATATATATATATATATATATATATATATATATATATATATATATGCTCAGTTCTATGTTGATAATATCTGACTAACAAATTGATCATTAGAAGAATATATGTAACACGAGCAAAATAATATGTATGTATCTTTTACTGTCTGTAAATTAATTAACCATATACCCGTTACTTAGTTTTGTACCACAAGTAACGTAGTTACGTACAGATTAAGATTTTCTATTTATGGTGTATGTATGGTGGCCTTATAATTGATGTATATTATATTGTAACCTTTGTGTCATAATATACATAGAGTAAGTCGGTTAACATTTTCCGTGTTCTAATTGGACAGGCTAATGGTAGAAAGAATTAGCCTCGGCATATCACCGCTAACATATCCTATTGGTATTGGCTTCGTTGGCATAACCTAATTTATTAGTAATGTACTCAATATATCAGTTGTCCATTTAATTGGGCACATAGATACTGAATTCATTTGGTATAATAATTTCAAATTTCAGAAATCAACCTTATTATTCATTAGTCGTTTGTTAGCGCTCAATCTTTTCATGATTATTATTATTTCGATAGAACAATGAGAAGACGGAGTTGATCTGAAAAATGTGATGTATTAGCGCTATACACATTTTTCAGATCAACTCCGTCTTCTCATTGTTCTATCGAAATTTATAAAAGGGACTAATTGCTTTATATCATTATTATTCCATTCATAGGCAGCTAATGCTTTTCTTGCTCAACGTATTAGCAGTATCAATGCTATCTCGGCTATATGTGAACAAACAAGTGCTGATATTAAAGAAGTGTCTAAAGCAATCGGTGCAGATCATCGAATTGGTCCATATTTTTTAAATGCTAGTCTTGGCTTTGGTGGTAGTTGTTTTCGTAAAGATATTTTAAGTTTGGTAATTTGAAATACATTTTTATTATTTTAAAATTTTCTTTGTTTCACAAATTTTTTTAACAAATAAACACAATAAGAATAACGTTTATTTTGTACACATAGTTTGAGAAAATTCTATTCACTATTCGAATTGGTTAACTCCACCTATTGCTCTTCTAGGGGTATTGCCGATCCTAAGCTCGTGTAAAGGAAGAGTGTTGGGCATGGGGTTAGCAACCCCATTCCGTAGAAAACAACCTTGCTTAAAAAAAGCTAACCAGAATAATAATAATAACTCAAATTGTTTAACATGGAATTTATTCTTCGTGTTACCAATAAATTTACTAAATCCATTTTTTTTATTAATAAAAATTCTGCTCGAAATTATTATTCTTGACTTTTGTCATACGCTTATCGTATCAAAGTAACTAAACAAAAAAGATTATGACTGATGCTACATAAAAGTAGATGTTTAGAATGTTGATTAACAACAATGAGGTGTTTTTGTCGAATAATCAACGTTTTCTGTCGTAATCGTCCGGTTGAAGACTGTAGCTATAATCAAAAAGTACACACCATGGCTTTCTGCTATTCTTTTTATCGTAAATATTATGCTTCATAGGAATAGAACTGTCCAAAAAATCGACAATTCTTAAAGGGTCATTTATAGTTTTTATATGTATGGGGTCATCTGTAATACGACCCTTAATTATTGTGTAAGCTTCATATTCATTAATCTGACAATCAGAATATTTATCTTATGCTCGCAAAGCAAGTGCGTCTGATGCCGAAAAAATGTAGAGTTAGCAAATGATTGTGCAAAGTCTATTCAACTAATCCTGATCATATTGGCCATTATGAGACTTCTTTTATCCACTCCGCGTAATAATGATGACGTAACAAAGTGAAATAAATGTGAGGAGCACTGTACACTTTTCACTGCAATAAAAGTGTTCGTTACATAACTATAATGCTTAACCATTCATCTGGATAAAATTTTAAAAAACGTACTATGCTTGTAACACTTTCTAGAAAAATGTCAAGCATTTACCAGAACTAATCGAAATACAAGGAAAATTTTCAAAACAACTTCTCTAGGACTTTTGTTTTGTCTATGATAAATGTCACACACTTAATTACCAGTACAAAGAATTGAGGAAAAATTTCTCTAAAAAGGATATCCAGGGCATTACAGTTTGTTCCTGTGGTATAATAACCAGACTACATAAAGATATTCACTGCTGTATTTGCAGGTTCATTTCTCTTGTTGTTGTTTATGAAAAGGTCGTTGCTATAGAAAATTTCCGTGTTCAATTATTTCATACATTTAAATTTGAATATGTTTATCTGCGATTAATCATACGGTATGATTGTATTATCATAATAATTGACGGTTTCGCCCAAATGTTTCGCTTACTTATTTTTCAAACGTACAAATATTGAGATAAACGCTCTTTGTTTCAGGTTTGTTTTGAACTTTGGAATTTTGAGTGGCTGCCGTATACAAATATGCGGTTTTATAAAAAATTGACCACTTGTGTGGGTGTTAAATACTGAAAAACTCGGATATAATCTCCACAGCTCTTGGTATAGTCTTTTCCTCTGTTCTCCAATGACATAATAGACGACTACATTGGAATTCATTAGTTCAATATATGACAGATGAAGGAAAGAGCTGTAGTCAGTGAACCAGTCGAAAACTTTCACAATTGAAGACTATAGTAGTGGCAGAAATTGACAATTGAAAAGGATTTATAGAATATATTTAGGAATAATTACAAATTGAATTTATGTTGAGGAGTGGTTTTGTTGCTATAATCTATAATTTTCATGTTAAGAATTCCTAATAGTAATGAAATTTATATTGGTGAATTAAGTAATTGTTATTATGAATGAAACCTACATTAATTCTAGCATCAATCTGTGATAAATTTTTACAGAAAAATTAATATTTAGGGAATTAGCGCAATCTACGACGACTATTTTGAAACAGTTTATTTTCAAATAAGGTAAACTCATCTTACTTTTTGTACACTCAATCTTCAGCATGCGCATGAAACTGGTATATGCTACTTTCTGCTTTTCAATAGTAAACCAACTGAGGTTACTATGTGACGAATACACCCTATAAATAGTATTTGTTAAGCAGTGAGACTTAATCACATTGCCAATAAACACTTTTACTGTTAAATTACAGTACTACACAGTAGTGGTAGTCGTAGTAGTATGATAAGTCTAATGACTATACAGTTACACTTAGTACGTTTAAAATGGAATACATTAAGTCAAGCATACTCAATATAAGCATGGCATACATATATAATTCAACACAAATCATTTTTTTCGTTCCATCTAAAGTACTCATGATACTAAGAAGTTTTGACTTTCAAGAGTGAATGTGTTTCTAGTTGCTCCCATTAGCAGGTTGGTTCTGTAAAAGTCAATAAATTACTCCACTTGTCTCACTGAGGTATTTAGGAATATGATTATAGTGTTCTTCTCATCAGAATTTATTTTGTTTTTTGATTGTAATGATATGTCAACAAAATAATTCTAAAATAGATAAAACTTCTTTTTTCACATTCAACTGATTTCCACTTTTAACAATCATATTCAAATGGACTGAATTTTTCTTCACAGTTTTACTTGTATATTTTTGTTGTTATTACATTCCTAGATGTATATATCAGAGACATTGAATTTACCAGAAGTAGCTTCTTATTGGTATAGTGTACTACAAATGAATAATTATCAAATTAATAGATTTACACGTAATGTAATTGAAAAATTGCACAATACATTAAAAGGAAAACGTATTGCAATATTTGGCTTCACTTTTAAAGCGGATACATATGATACAAGGTTAGAATGTTTCTGTTTAAATTAAATAATTATCTTGACAGAAGAGGTTTTGTGGAGATTTTAGAAATTTGAATAGTTGAAATCATGAGTCAATTGAAGCTAGACCACCATGAAAAACCTTGAAGCAGTGGACGGCCGTTTCGTTCTAGTATGAGACTCCTCAGCAGTGCTCATCCACGATCCCGCCCCCGCGAGATTCGAACTCAGGACCTATCGGTATCGCGCGCGAGCGCTTGACCATTATGTTTACGCATTATGTGAATATTAATCATTTGTTAACTAATTACATTTCTGTCTGTCAATACGTTAGTTTAAATCTCCATTTCATCAATGCATTTTTTACTTGTATTCACATTATCATCGTTTTTTTTTTCTTTAAAAAATATTAGAGATAGTCCTGTGATACCATTGTGTAATCAGTTATTACAAGAACAGGCTGAACTAGCAATCTATGATCCTAAAGCTCTTCATAAACAAATTGAATCAGATTTATTAATCAATAATAATAAAGATTCATGTAAGTAACATAGTATTCTTCAAGGAGTTCTTTTATCATGCCTATTTCATTTGTTTAGTTATAATTCAATTCTGGTTGTTTATTAATAAACCACTTAAAGTATAAATGTCTTTGAATTTGAAAACTCTGATCTAAATTACTGTGTTAATCAAATTACGTGTTAACTAGATATAAGATTACAATAATTTCTATCATTATGGTTCAACTATAGTTTTTCATTATAAGTGGATATTCATCGATTGGACTGTAAAGAACAAAGGGTATGTAGTTTTTGACATTTCTTAGTAGTTTGCGATTTTATCCAGAATATTATATGAATGATACATCAGGAGATGGAACATAATAATCTCACATATTGAATCAACAAAAATCATAACGTCAATTTTGGCTTTATTTATTTGTACCTATTCGGTTACTGTAAAAGTTTTCTTAACAGGAAATTTACAATGTTTCAATAAATTCCACTCTTAGATCCACTTAAATTGTAAATAATCAAATACAACTTAAAACAAAGATTTTACTTATCATTCATCCTTATCATTCCAAACGTTTACGACCGGTTTAGTTCTTATGACACTATCATTTCGTAATGTATATTTGATGCATAATCGTCTTTAGTTTATCTAAACGACAGAAAAAGGCAAATAAGTAAACCACTGTGATGATAATGATTCTACTCGGATTTCCCATTGTTTAGTTCCGCTGTGTATTGCAACTTACGCCTGTTAACTTTCGTAGAGAATAAGCCGTCGACCAGGATCCTCCAATCAACTCTCTCTTGCGCTCTCCTCTCTAGTTGTTCCTAAGTGCTATTTATTCATTTGATATCTTCTCCCAATACCCAGCGCTCTTTGTTCTTTGTTTTGAGGATCTGAACTTGGGACTTACCTCATGATGTTTTGTGATTCCTGCAATGTCTCCCATCCAATTCCATCGTCATTTTCTAATTTCCTGTTCAGCTGGAAGCTGCTTTGTTTTCTACTAGACTAGGTTATTGTTGATTGTGTCTGGATAACAGATTTGGAGTATATTATGTAGGCAGTTTTTTTATAAATACCTGTACGTTTTTGATGGTGGTAGTTTTCCAAGTGTCAGCTTCGTACAAAAAAACTGTCTTGGCGATTGTATTGAAAATCCTGTCGTAAGCTTTTTATAAAAGCGTGCTGATACAATAGGAGGGTTGCTTAAATTGGTTCTAAAAACCTCAGATTTGTTGCATTATTTGGATAGTTAAAAAAATAGGTAACCCAGGAGCCTAAGAGTACTGTAATTGGTTCCCAGAATTTATTCATCTTCCGCCTGGAGCCCCTCAGGGGCTACTGCCGGTCCCAACCCCTGATGGACAAGGAGGGTTGGGCATAGGTTTAGCAAGCCTATCCCGTAGAAAACTAACCGCTAAACACGCTAACTAGAAAAATAATTCAGATTATTATTATTATTATTATTATTATTATTATTATTATTATCATATCAGATCGAGTTAGTATGGTTTACTACTTTATTTCTAACACAAATTTCAGTTTATCAGGAAACCTTTACATTCAACTGATAAATACCCGTCATTTATTAGTTTTCCGAATGTGTGCGAGCGTGTATGTGAACGTTAGGCCACAAGATTGTAATTCTGCAACAGTAGAGAATTTGAAGACATCAGACCTATGTACATACATTGATTATGTATGCTCTTCTGTGTGTTTAGAATAAAGGTGTATTTTTAAGATTCAGGTGACCTTTGGTGCATGGGTCATTATTGTCGAAAAAACAAGACTTATCCTTTACCAAAAACTTGAACAGCATTTAAACGATTGGGTCACGTCGCACTATGTTTGTCAATTTACATATTTGTGTAATCACATATACATTGTGAACTTTTCACATTATTCTCATTTAACTGGCTCATGATTTGATTAGCACAGTATAGATTTGATTTGATGATTTTGGTTATTACCCTGAAGAAGTCCAGACAAGTTCGCTGGACGAAACGTTGGCATTATTTACATTTCAATCGCTGAGATTATCATTTTAATAAATATGCATTGAGTCCAATTTGCAAATCATGATTGCTCCTTCCTATGTATATGTGATTACACAAATATGTAAATTGACAAACATAGTGCGACGTGACCCAATCGTTTAAATGCTGTTCAAGTTTTTGGTAAAGGATAAGTCTTGTTTTTTCGACAATAATGACCCATGCACCAAAGGTCACCTGAATCTTAAAAATACACCTTTATTCTAAACACACAGAAGAGCATACATAATCAATGTATGTACATAGGTCTGATGTCTTCAAATTCTCTACTGTTGCAGAATTACAATCTTGTGGCCTAACGTTCACATACACGCTCGCACACATTCGGAAAACTAATAAATGACGGGTATTTATCAGTTGAATGTAAAGGTTTCCTGATAAACTGAAATTTGTGTTAGAAATAAAGTAGTAAACCATACTAACTCGATCTGATATGATAATAATAATAATAGTGACAAGAATAACAAATTCTGGGAACCAATTACAGTTTCATGCACTCAACTTTTAATCACATGTGATCTGTGTACATAAACGACACTCCCTCACCCTAGGCAACTTGTGTTACTGTTTCCCCAATGATATGTTTGTCACTGAGCCACTATTTCACATCGTATTATATTAGTTATGTAAATGATTACCATTAGTATTAATCTATCACGAATTTATTGATTAGTAACGAATTGATTTTATCTTTTAATAATGTTAGTTGACCTGAATCATATAGAAAGATTTCCCATACATTGCCATACATTTGAGCTAGCATACTTTTTAATCATATTAATATGGATCTACCTTGCGATCCTATTACTCGTTTCAATATCTTTCCTAATATATTAAAATAGTGGGAGAATATAAAACACATATCGATGTACGCAATTAGATAATGCTTCTGTTCATGTACATTTACCGACAATATTTTTCTTCAGTGCTTTTTTGTGTGTATGTATTTTAGTTAGTCAATTCGTCCACATTTGTTCTACGCCCGAAGAAGCTGTCACCAACGCCTATGCTATTCTGATATGCACAGATTGGAAATGTTTCCAAGTGAGTATTGTATTGTATCGAGAAATTTTCTTGTTGAAATGTTGGAAAGTGATTCGTACGAATTCTTTTTGTCTTCGTTTTAATGTATGACTTAAACCAACACGTCCATGTAGTGGTTATTTTACATCGTATGTTGACGTTACAGTAGAATTATATGGATGTAAAAATCTTTGAATTAATTTTTTAAATAACTTATAAATAATAAATATGTTTGTTTTTGCAGAAGTGATAGTTCAGTTGTCAGTTACAAATAATATAAAATGGAAATACTGATATATCACTTTTTAATGGTGTATATTCTCTCAAAATCAGTAACTCAATAAACATTCGTGACTTGCTTTTGGCCCCATTAGTTTTGTTGAAGTGAACTAAACTACTTAAATGCCACTTGTTATTTCACGTGTATATGACGATTCTCATATACACCATCATCTTGCTAGTTAGGAAATGTTATCCATACCTCCTGTAGTCTTCGAATAAACCTTCGAACCAGTAATGTCTCCTTTCTCATACACTGTCGATTGAAAATACAAAAAATATCGTAATACTTATAGTGAGTTCAATATAATTATCGCCTAGTTCTGTTGAAACTAGGAACACAATGTGCAGATTACTATCAATTTTTGTTAGGTGGTTAGAGGTGAACAACACTAAACCCTAGATCTGTGTTTCTTGTTATTTGACACGCAACCCGTGTCGAACCCATTAGGAAGCACCAATGCTATAAAAATTTTCAATCACTTCGAATCAGCTAAAATTTTGAAATCATGAGCGAAATATAAAGTCAATTAGATAGACAGATAAAGTGCAATTCGATCGATCGGATTGAAGGACCAGACATGAATAGCACTGGTCACTACTCGTTGATCAATCAGTTGTGACCGTTAAATTATTGGTGTCAATATAAAACTGGCTGGCTAAAACGTTGATACAGTCCTTCATAGGTCACTACTGACTCCCTTGAATATAATACATAAAAGAACCAAAAATACATTGTCTGTAGGTTTTAACTGACATCATACTGAATTTCTTGAAACTACCTAAATATATTAGTACTTTATAATTTTACGAGTATTTAACAACTTAGTATTTTGAATTTATTATTCTATATTCTCTGTTTTGTTTGTTTTTCTGCTTTTCATTCAGTTCTTTACTGTTTGTTTATTTTGTGGGATTGACTAGACTTGACACACATGACATTGATCACCACCCAGTGATCAATCAATTGTGATTACATCTTAGTCCTAAAGGAGGTCGGTCGCGGTCCAGATAGCTCAGTGGTAACGTCTCTGACTGTGAAGCTGGGTGACACGGGACGGAATCCGTCAGGGAGCATCAGTTTCCTCACGATTACAGGTACACCTTGCCGACGAGTGCCAAGTAGCACGAAACCCGGGTCCAAGGTTTCCTGTTGACTACCTCCAACCACCATCTTATCTCAACATAATGCATGCAGTGTCGAGTCACCTAGACTAGTGGCCACATTGCAACTTACTCGATAGCATTCGATCTGCACTAAGAGGGACTTGACACATATAACATTGATCACCACCTAGTGATCAATCAACTGTGATTAGTTCTATTATTTATATCTATATGATTTATTATATTTCTTAGTGAATGATTTTATTTGATATCGTCAGTTTTTTTAAATCTTAATTATTGATAATACTTTTATCTGTATTAAAAACAGATCAGTAAATTTGATGAGCTTGTTAAAACGTTAACAAAATTGTATGTTTTATTTATACTGGATCATGTAAACTTTCGAATTAAAATTGTTATCTTATGTTAATCACTGATTGATTTTCAAATGGATTCCCTTCAAATTTTATTACAAAATCATGACTAGTGAAATGTATTTATGTTAGGTAGTAGTTAAAGTGTTACTCACCAATTGAATTTGAATGGTTGTTACACTAATTAAATGTCAGTCGTGATCAAAAACTAACTCTCTTACTGTAAGATTTTAATGTCTTATATACAATATCTGGTAGATCTTGAATAGGGAAATTAGCTACAATTTATGATAGTTTTTGTTAAACAGTTTCTGTTTATGAATCAACTTTCTTTAATTTACACCCTTAGCATGTTTTTGCAATACACAAACGATCCAAACACTAGATATTCAAAATATTGCCATAAAATCAAATGCAAAACTAAAAGCCAATAACAAATATTTATGAAAAAGTCTATTAAAATTAGCGTATAATTTAACTGTGCAAAGAATCAGTTAATTGTCAATCAACGGACAAATAAACAAAATCAGTACATGGATTTGTGGAGAATGTTGTATTTTCGCAGTTGAATTCATGAGTCGATCTTAGCTAGACCACCATTTAAACCCCGGAAGCGCTAGAAGACCGTTTCATCCTAGGATGCGACTTATCAACAGTGCATATCCACAATCCCACACATTTGGCTCGAACTCAAGACTCTTGGTCTCGCGCGCAAACAATTAACCTCTGTACCACAAAGCTGGCATCCAACGATGTCAATGTCCAACTTCCATCGATATATGGTCGTGCTTAACCTTTTATTCATTGCTTGAGGTGGATAACTGCCTCACATCCGACACGGATTGAACTTAATTGATCAAGGCTTCTCACTAGAACTTCAGGAGTTACATCCTAAAGCTAGTCATTAATGAGCACATAATTGTTATCAGTATAGGGATTCGTAAAGACTCAATGTTTTCATAGTTAAAATTACTAGTCGATTTAAGCTAGACCACCATTAAAAACCTGGAAGAACCGTATGGCCTTTTTACATTAGTATAAGACTTCTCGCACACGAGACTTGAACACAAGCAAACAAAAGTAAATTTCCAAAGAATTCTACTCATAATAAAACATTACATTTTGCTTATTTGTTGTCCACCAATACATTTCTTTATTTTTTTACAATTTATTCCAAGGAATATGATTATGCGAAATTTTACCGTTTAATGACGAAACCAGCAAGAATATTTGATGGACGCATTATATTAAATCATAAACAATTAAGTCAAATAGGTTTTATTGTTGAAGCAATTGGTATTGCATCAGAAAGTTTTACCATGAATGGTTATGTTGAATAATAATAATAGTAAACAGTAGTAATACAATTTAATATATTAGTTATTATTACTTTTATTTTTGACGTCAGCTTCGACCTTCTATGTTTATTTATTTATTTATTTCATCTTTCCTTTCTTTTGGTAGTATTTTGTTAATTTTTGATTCTTATGAAATGTAGAATGTTGGCAATAAAGATATTCCTGTAATTATGACTGCATATTGCTTCTTTTTGTGTTCTTCTGTTAAAACATGTACATTCACATATCTGATTTATGATATTTTCATTACAAAGCCCCCCTCAAAGAAAACGATGTAAAACTTGAACTAATTTATTTCTAACTACACTCCAATTTGCTTTCATTTTGTATGTTTGTGTATATGTGCTTTGTTCACACATATCCATTGTCTAAAGATAGACAATGTATTGCCAATCTATGCACACCTATCTTGTATTATTCAAAATTGTGTTTATGCCTGTATCTAGTGTCTAGTAAATGTTATATTAATGTACCGTTTATCCTCAGGAGGTTGTGTTCTTTTTTCGGTTTATGAACAATATAATTCTCTAATTTATTTTGTACGCTGAAATAATTCCCACTGTTAGCTTTTTTATGTATAATTTATTTTTATTACTGATGACTTATGAAAGTGTAATCTTTTAAAAATGACGACAAAATACTTTTCTTACATCCTTATTCTTATTCTAATACACAAGAACTTTTAACTTTACTGAACAAGATATTATTGATACTACTGTGGTGTGGGCTACTGATTTCGACACATATAAGCAGTATGTATTTACAATCCACAGTGGAATACCTAACGATAAAAGTTTGAGAAAGTCAAAGAGAAGAGAACAACAAATTCTGAGACAATTGATGGATATTCTACAAATGAAGTATTTACTATATGGTTCTCAGATTTTACCAAGATATTCTGCATTGTTGTATTGAATTACATATATGTGTCTCCAATGGTGTTCTCGTTAACTACCCTACTACTGCTACTATTACTACTAATAATTATAATCATAAATCGATTCTCAATTGTCATTTTTCCCCTATCACTTGTAATTTCTTCCGTAAACTGTTTACCATTGAAATGGATAATGACCCAGTGATTTATTCTGACCGAATGATTATTGTTTCAACAATTATTTTGATTTGTTTCGAATTTTGTCTACTTTCATTCACTTCTTTTTCTTGTTTTCTTTTTCATAAATCATTCCTGTATATTTTATAAAGCAAATTATCTATGAATCCGGTTGTGATGATGTCTTTTATTAAAATGTACTAATCATAAAAAGTGTTCACTTTCTTGCATAACAATAGTACTGTTTTATGGTGTTGTTGACCATCTGAAATAATTCTAGTAAATCAAACTAAAGTATACATTCATTATATATGAAAATTATATTTGAAATATTCTCAGCGATTGAAATTTAACTAATTCCGACGTTTCGTCCAGCTAACTTATCTGGACTTCTTCAGGGTAATAATCAAAATCATCAAATTTTCACATATAATGACTTCTCTATACTCGGCGATCAATTACTGTCAAACTATTCGTTCTAATCTTGACGAATATTCGTATAAACTATATATTCTTTGTAACTTGTGTTCATTTTTTTAAAGCAGTTTAGTGTTTATTATGAATTGAATATTGTGAGTTTATATATCGACTAATAACATATTTGAACAAGGAGGTTTTATCAGTCAGTGTAGATAAAACATTTAGACAAATAAATTTGACTATTTATACTTATTTATCATCATTCTAAATAATAATAGAAATAAGGTGGAAATCTGAACATGTTTACGAAAAACAACATTGAAATCCCTAATCCTCATCGATTTCAATATGTTGACAACAAAATAATTTTTTTGTTTTGTTTTTAATCCCGCTAGCAACTAGACTTTCTTATCTTATCATTTGATAAAAAATACCAAAAAAGTTGTATTTATTTATTGATTAGTTTAATTACAGTACCACTATTATCTGATCGTATCATCAGTAAACAAAAAAAAGTTAAATACATAACTCATTTTTGGTGTACTCGATTGTAGGATTTGTATGTTTTCATTTAGTTTTAGCTGTTTATCATTTATTTGTCTTTAAACGTATTCGTTGCTTAGGTTATATTTAGTATTAAAAAAAAACATTAGTCTGACTGTATTGTACATTTTCAATCTTTACTTTCCAAGATAACAAGATATTTTAGTTCAAGTTTCAAATAAATGATCGTTCAGTAACTGCTATTATGATGTAATTGAACTTTACATTTCTCTTTCAATATTTATTTTTAATGCTAGCTAACTATTTTTCAATGATACTTTCACAGTGCAACTCTAAAAAAAAACAGACTTATAAGCAGAGATATTATCATGCATTACAGAAACAGTAAATAAATTCGAACACTTCACTTCTATCTGAAGTTTATGCTGATGATGTCGTGCAGAATAGCAATGAAATCTTCATAACCAACCATCCAGCTCAGTGAACAAAACCCCACCAAATAAGTTACAATTTGATTTTTTTTGTATTATGTGATGTTTAGAATATGTGTCACTTTTTCTGGTAATTTAACACCAACAAAAGAGTCTAGATAGCTATGATGTACTCGTTTATTCTTAATGACACGAATAACCTGTTGATTTAGTTGTAAATAATATTTTTTTAGTAAAGTAGTTAATACCTGTGTTACTAGGCCATTTTAAATGTCATAACTATTACCAATGGACATTATTCCTCACTCTTAACTTAATTGATTTTCCAAGTCATAAATAATACTATACAATTTTTATAATATCAAATCACTACTACTTAAAATAAACAATCCAGAATCGTGTATGCATACTGCTTAAGAGTCCCATACTAAGATGAAATAGCCGTACAGTGCTTCCACGTATTCCATATTGGTCTAGCTTTAATTGACTCAATAATTCAACTAATAAACTTCAGAATGTGACTTCCTGATAAAAAAATTCTTTTTCTTATAAGAAATATTTCATTTTCCTACTTTAATCTGTAATAATTTAATTTCTTGTAATGACTTTATGATATTTCGTTAGCAAGGATGACTTTTGGTGTTGACCTTTCTTTCTTTCTTTTTTTTTTCTAAAATTTTTATGAATTTGTACAATAGACACGAATATAATAAATGTCAGTTAACATATTCGAAATTCTTTCAGATTAATCAGACTAGATTTCAATTCGCTTAGTTTTAACTAGTCACATTATTCATCTTCATTTATAAATACAGTTAGAAATGTTAGAAATGTTTAATCTAGTATAACTAATGAAATTGTGTAAAAGGTATCATGAGTTAGAGTTTGTTAGGATTTATGTAGTTGTGTTATCTTAATGATTAACAAAATAGATGAATCAAAAACTATGAAAAATGTCAAATTAAATTCGATTAATTAACAAAAATAAAACCAGTAAAGTACACACTTAGATAATAATTTCGCACTTTTCTGACATGATAAAGATAGAAAATGGTTACCATTATGATTCATTAAGAGCTGAAGGAGATGGAATAGAAAGAAATTAATTAAAAGATATTAAATAAGAAAAAGAGAATTCAGCGAAGAAAATTTTTTTTCGACAAAATCATTTACTTAAGCTGTACATTCGTATATATAGTTATATGGAAAATGTATGTCTATAGAAGGATAGAAAGGAATGTATCACAAAAATGGATTCGACAATAAATAATAAATGAGGTTAACGTACTAATCAAGGGTTAAGGAAGAACAAAATTTATGGGTCAGATAATAGTCGAATTTTCACAGATTGAAATCATGAGTCAGTTGAAGCTAGACCACCATTGAAAACCTGGAAACACTGGACGGCCGTTTCGTCCTAGTATGGGACTCCTCAGCAGTGTGTATCCACGATCCCGCACCACGCGGGGCTCGAACCCAGGACCTACTGGCTTCGCGCGCGACCACTGAGCCGGCATCCAACGGTGTTAATGTCTAACTTCAACCAATCCAGTGGTCTAGTGGTTAAGTGCTCGCGCGCGAAGCCAGTAGGTCCTGGGTTCGAGCCCCGTGTGGTGCGGGCTCGTGGATGCGCACTGCTGAGGAGTCCCATACTAGGACGAAACGGCCGTCCAGTGCTTCCAGGTTTTCAATGGTGGTCTAGCTTCAACTGACTCATGATTTCAATCTGTGAAATTTCTAAAATCTCCACAAAACCCATTCTGATAATAGTCGAATTGACCAATATGAAGGAAAGCGACAAACAACAAAGGTCATAATAATAAACTGAATGATAATCAAGAAAACTTGTATAAGGTAATAATAATAAATGATTAGTTTAAAGTACAAAATAGTAATTTCAAAAATATCGATAATAATTAAATAAAAGTGCAGAAAAACAAAAAAACCGCCAACACAGAAACATACCCATTAAGGGAATTAGGGCCAAGCAAGGATGAGAGGTTGGACAAATCGTTTCTGCACGCAAAGTTCAGGCTTGAGTTTGTGGATTGCCGATGCCTCTGCGGCGCATAAAATATTGGTTCGATCCAGATCCGTTGACTCTGTAGACTACCTTAAATGAAGAGTCTTTTGGAGCGTTGTGTCCACAGTTAATTAAGTGCTCCTGTATAGAGCTAGTGATCGTTTCACGTTCCCCTTTTAAGAACCAGGCCGGATAATGTTCCGAGATGCGTTTGGATACGGATCGCTTTGTGCGGCCAATGTAACTTGCCTCACATGAGCAAGTAAATTCATATATGCACATTGATGTGGCCCTTGTAACCTTTGTTGTTTGTCGCTTTTCTTCATATTGGTCAATTCAACTATTATCTGACCCATAAATTTTGTTCTTCCTTAACCAGTGATTAGTACGTTAACCTCATTTGTTATTTATTCTCGAATCTATTTTTGTGATACAATCATTCTATAGCCACACATTTTCCATATAACTATATATACGAATGTACAGCTTAAGTAAATGATTTCGTCGAAAAAAAAATTTTCTTCGCTGAATTCTGTTTTTCTTATTCAAGGACACTATGGGTTATTTTTATTATCTAAAAGATATTATTATGTTAAATTTTGGTCGAAAAATTCTATTCGCTGTTG